GACGAAATTCAAGGGTGCTAGGATTAGAAATAAGGCCCAATGCTTATTAGTGTGCCATAGTTCCCATGGAATTGTATTTCGTCCTTTTGCACGGTTGCCTCTTCTCTTCAGTGGCTGTTTTATCGAACGTAGCAAGGGATCATCGTTTCGTTTGAATTGAACAATCGAAAAATTGTTGAGCGAAAAATCCTCTCGTAACACAATAAGTCGTAATTTCGAAAGGCTGGTGGAAGCCCGGGGTCTCAGCGTAAAAGGTCAATTGAACCCGTAGTTTCAGCGCGAATTTCTGTGATTAGGTTTATGTACCCAGTTCACCAGAAGTGGCAACGCGACAGAACGGCGGCACCATCACTGTAAAAAATGACCGGTTAAAGGTGTGGACAAACCGAAAGGTAAAGGTATGGCACGCAGCAGATGAATCCAATAGGAATTCAATACATTCGTGCGATTGTCACATTCTTCTAAGAAGTCCGTACCTCGGTTGATATCGACGACTGCAAGGAGGCGTTGGATGCGATTAGCTACGGATTAAAGTCTTGTCTCGCGAGAAGGTCGTGCCATTTCGCTGTTTGTCCTTGCGACATTGTGGGACTTATCAGATGACCAGCAAGGACTCAGACAGCACCAACGCAGCGAAATGTGCGGTGATATAATACTTATTGACGATCACATTAACAGATCCCAAATGGAACGGAAATTTGAGTATTTCGCGTGTCGGTCGAAGAGTGCGGGTGTCAATTACAAGAGTTTTGTGAGTGGGCCACTTCGCTGAATAAGGTGCAATGTGTCGTCCTTAATGTAGAAGTATTGCATGTGGTTGTGTAACCAGTTTGTGTCGGTCGTCATCTTGCACATCAGTAGCGCGGACTTGTTTTCGTATATGATTGACAAAAATGATACCGTTAAGGTTGCGCGGACTTTCTTACGCTCTCACTGTTCACCAACTGCGAACTTTGCGACTGGCGTGGTTTTAGTGAAATCCGACCTGGTTTTGGGTTGATAGGAATGTAATCGAACTCAACGCGGTACTGTCATCACATAAGTTATGTTCAGCGTTTGGGCAAGCAGTATGACTGTTTACGCGAACGCGTATCTCCGACCTACGACAGCGTCCCACGACTTCTCAAGACAAGTTCAGCGGTTTGCCGAGCCGCCCCGTGGGCTTGTCGATGTCGGGTCGCCCATCCCTCGTCCGTCTGCTTAATGATGATGTTCGGGTGTTCTGCCTTCCAGCCGTCATCTGGCCACCAGTACGTGTACGCCCATTCGATGCCGCAGTCCCAGTCGCCGGGCGTGCAAGTGATCACCATTCCGCAGCAGCCAGTAGCGCCGTCGGCTGGCGAGTTCTACGCGTCGCAGCCCCCGCCCGTGTACCACCATCAGGACCCGCAGGCAGCGGCCGCCGCCGTCGCCGCCGACCACGAGTACCAGCAGGAGGTGGGGTGCCCCGACTTACAGCATGCTTTCATAGAAGGCCTAAGGACATTCCAATGGCTTCGCGGTTCATTAGTGGGGCTTCTGCTGTGTAACCAGTTACCCGCAGCGCGGTTGAATGGTCTAGCTGCCTCTAATGTTCTGGCTAATATACCCTGCGTATCACGATATGTGAAGATTGGGAACATCCCTAACTTTCCGTGGCAATGCTGTTTGCAGTCCTGCATGCTTGTAGACATGGATCTTGTAACACTTGGTTGGCTCAGGTGTGTGATTCTGCATGTCATTTTCATAACCTGTTCCTGTGGTCATGGCATGGTTAAGTGCGTACACCGTCGTCCGGCATGTGTGTTAATCCTCCTCCGTCCATATGCTCCCAGTTCGGTTGCAGCAGGGTGATCCTATATGCACAGTGCTAGTCTGTTGCATGTTGGTGGCGGCGGCATGGTATAGGGTACGTGACAACGGTTTAAATGTTCGAACCTTGCTGGGGCGCATTTTTGCACATTCTGTAAGTTATCGTTTTGGCCCCAATATCCACACTGCTCTGCTCAGTGAAATATTCAGCAAAGTATTTTTCAAGCAAATTTTGCCTCCAATCCTGACGCTAATGCCCGGTGCTGGTTTTCTGTAGGTCAAAAATGACTCGAGTGACTGGTCAGAAGACCGACTGGACCAGCTGTCTTCTTTGTGCCTGGACGAGGCAGACGCGGAGGGTCGCCGCACCCGTCAGTTGCGCACCGAGAATGACTGTACGGACGTTAGTGAGAGCGGTGATGAGCGCGTTCCGTCTCCGGTCGACGGCGCTGGGGAGATCGTGGGCGACTCTCCTCGCGTCACACCCGCGCGGCTCGACGCTCGAACGGACTCGCCGTCGCCGCTGCCGCTCACCCCGCCCTCGTCTTCCGTCTCGCCCTGTCCGGACTCTGTGTCTTCCACCACAAAAAGCGCCAGCCCACAGCCAACCTCGACTGAAAACGGCTTCTTGGGCTCATCCCAGAGCCAGGACGGCGGCGACGGCGAACCGCCCAAGTCCTCCAAACCGCCAAAGTACACGATCCTGGCACCGCACATGAGCCAAATGTACATGACACCCAGCTTTGTGCCCCACTACCACATCTGGACACCGTACTACACGCTGCAGACGTCGATGGGCTCCATCCAGACGCGGGCCGGCGGTAAGGGCTGCCCCCGGCACGGGTACGCGCCGGGACCGACGGCCGTTCCACCACTGCCCTCCATGCCGCCGCCGCCAGCCGCGGCAGCGGGTCCTCGCGGCTCGGGCGGCTGCTGGCTGCACCAGTCGGGCCCGCCGCCGCCGCTGTCCTCTCTGTCCTTGCCCTGTCCGGTCCGCCCTCATAACGAGCCATTTTCTCCGCCACCTGACCAGATGCAGCGAGTGCGCTACGCCAGCCCGTGCAAGCAGCCGATGAGCCGCAGCGGCTACATCTGCGGCCCGCGCGTGGGTGCCACGGCCGGCCGCTGTCCACTGAAACAGCCCGGTCTCGTAGGCGACCTGGGCGGGGCCGGTGATGCGCCGCCACCGCGCGCTGACCAGGGTGGCCCGATGACCCCGCCGCATACCCCTGGCCGCGCCGACCAGCCGGCCAAGGTGGAGGCTGCCGCCACCCGTCTGCAGACCATGACCCTGTGAAGGGCGAGCCGCGCCGCTGCACACCTCTAGCACGGCCTACCGTGATCTCTCCCCATGTCAAATCGGTCCCACGGCTTCATCGGCGAACGGAGCGTTGTTTTTGTTTGTAAATCGCATTGGTCGAAGCTCGCATCGTGCAATTGAAAAATGGTCGGAGGCGCCATGGTTGTCGGAACACCAGCCTGTCGTCCGTGCGGTTTAACTGTTCAAGCAGTATGCTATTGTGAATATGGTAGATTAGATTCGCTCACACTGTTACTGTAACTAAGTGCCAATTATCCCAGGTGCCTTAGGAAGTGACCCTTGTTGCACATAATATAGGCGCATATTTATTGCAAACTGGTGTAGGGCTAAGTAGCTGTAAGAACTAGGCTCATTGTATTCTTTTTTGACAACCAGTGCGGATAAGCATCGCAGGAATACTAGGGCTATGGTGAAACGGCCAAGTCTTGCTTTCCATCGCTGTTTGTACTGCCCTTTGCGTGATTCTTTTCTACCGCGACTGATCTAAAGCACATCAGATCTGGGAGGGTGACCCGTGTCTTCCACCACCGTAGACGTCCTGTGGACCTCGTCCTCATCAAGGCGCTAGTAGTCGGCTCCTTTTTACACGCGTGGGAAAATGCTTCCTTCGATCTCCATCCAACACTTTCTGAGCTTTGTATCATCATTTAACCGAGAATTTCGCCACTTTGTTCCCGTGTGGGTGTGTGTCATTAGGTTAAGCATTGATGTCATGGATGGGCACAATGAGCCCGCCTCTGTATAAGTACGTGGCGTTGCTGGGCTCAGTGGTGCCAACATTTCGCCTTCATCAGTATTCTTCGCTTGCCACTCCTCATTTCCCGTACTCATTCGCTGTCTCGATACCAACCAAATCTTCTGTGATAACGCTGTTGGGGTTCCAAATATTTATTAAGTATTTATTGTTACGCCGTCTGTGCAATATGTTAGGTTGGGCTGCCAGAAACTCGCCCTTGACGCTCATTGGCACGCAAGGGGCATCTTGCACACGCGGTACAGTTTTTGTAGACGGTTGCCTGGTTAACTTGCCTTCCCGGCTTCGTCCTTGGGCAGTCGAGGTCGCGTGTTAGCACAAGCTGCAGCGCAAAAGGGAGCATAAAGACTCCATTTTAACCGCCAGTTACCATTTTTCAAAGAAATTAGGTTGTAAGCGCTGCAGTAAACACTGACCACAGCTGGGTACACCACACGATCTGTCCCAATAGCCATGCAGTGATGAATAGCGACCGGATTTTCTCGAAGGTCTCGCCTTTGGGCTATTTCCGTGTCGCGATGTTGTTTTGGCCCGGTCGCCCGTCCGTCGTGTAAATATATTTGTACTCGGGGCGACCCATGCGTCCCGGGCTGAAGTGCTGCCGTCCTTGACAGGCCCTGATGAGCTGACCGTCCGCTGTCTCGGCCAGCAAATATTACCTTGCTTTGGGTTCTGAAGATTTGTTCAAAGCCGTCGCGGATTTATGCGCCTGGGTCGCCCTGCTCTGTATATAATTATGCCTGATTTTAAAGTGCAAATATATCATTTTAGTGCCGTGTATGACTGCTCCTTTCTGGGTCAGTATCGAGCGCTGGCAACCACGGAAGCGTCGCTTCTGTTGGCGTATGGCCAACAAACCGCTTCGTGCACACTCCCGGCGCTTCCTTTACATTCAGTACCGTGGGCACCGTATGAAGACTACTGTGCTTCTCTGGCATCCCCTAAAAAATCGACTGTGCCCGTGTGTCGAAATATGTTCGGTTCCACGCCACGTTGTGGTGCATCTAGCCTAGCGGTCATTCGATTGCGATGAGGATTCAATAGTCACGGGGGTTCAGTGATTGCAACCGTTGGTTGTGCTACTGGCTGCGTTGTGACTCAATGAGGGTTTCAGGATAGTGCCCTTGTAGTGGTGTGGCTGGGTGTGTCCGAGCTGTGCTGTTATCCAGAAATCATATGCAATCTAACTGCGGTATGAGATAGCGTCGCGTTCGAGTGCCTAGAGTATTTGGAGAATAAACTGCTGACATTGATGTCTGTTTCTTGTAGATTTATGTGAAGTTCGAAGCTTGGAAAAGCTCAAAGCGCTTTCTCGCTATGACCAACAGCAGTGATGTACGACCGCAGTTAGTTTTAAGGATGCAAGAATGCGAGGCTCGAACGGTTCTTGCGTACTGCGTGTTGTATGTCGTCATTCAGTGCAGTGATGTTCCTTATGTGGAAAGTTTTTGCACCTGCGAAGGTGCCGCGGCAACCAAAGTCTGAAATTCACTTTCAAAGTGTCGACTTCGGTGCGCACAACCTAAAGCACGCACATGCATTCGCATCCTCAGATGGACGTTTTGGCGTTGGCGAAAACGCAGTCTACGTGCCCGGCACACCGGCTGTGGTGAAAGACTGTCCACATGGATACGCTTGGACGTCGCTGTAGAATATTCCAACAGTCGTTGCATGCCAAGCGGCGCATTTCGGGTCTCCAGAGATCAGCAAACAGTATTCCACGGGCCCCAGCCGTGCTGGAATTATCTCCCGTCAATAGGTCAGTTTCGCCCTCAAGTTGGTTAAGTAAGTGCCCTAATTAGTGCCAAAAATCGGCAAAGGCCGTTTGGTGGCGGGCGATGGGAGGAGGGGGGAGGCCATTGGGCTATGCCCCCTCAAGTGGTACTAAATGTAGCATTTCTAAACGTAGAATGAAATGGAAGGGGTTGTTACTTGGAGAACAATGTCTCAGAACAGCCCGGGTGCCAAAAGGAAGTGCGATCTGACGCTTTGGGAAATTAGTACACTCGGTTTTGCACCCCAGAGAAAGGCGCACGCAACGCGGTGTTTTGGCTTTCGCGCATGCGTGACGACGTGAGGTACACTGGTTTGTGCGGCGTGGTGTTACGTGTTGGACCGATTTGCTGCGCATATACTTAATATTATGCGCGCTGAGAAAAACGGCCAATGTCCTCGGCTCGCGCAAATCGTACTTTCAGCGGGACGGAACTGATAGACTCCTTTACGTTCATCACGTTCGTGGTCCTAAACCGGGTACTTGCCTTGGAGGCTGGCGCACTCAGGTGACCAAGCCACGGGGTCCTCCGTTAGCGCCTGAAGATGTCGGCGTGCAGTCGGCAAACGTGGGCGCCCTTGTAACAAGACGTTCAAAGAATGGTACCAGGAAGAGCGAGTAGGGCGGCGTCTTTTCATGTAGATAAAAGGGTGTCTTCTAGACTGCTAGCGGGCGCTAAATCATCGCACAGTGCATCTCAAGCCAAGGTAGGCTGGCAGAGGTGTAGTTTCCTATACAGTTATAAGATACAGTTATATACCTATACCTATACAGTTATACCTGGACCTACCTATACAGATACCTATCTGTATATATAACTGTATCAGTAACTGTATCTATATAACTGTATCTATAACTGTATAACTGTATCTATATAACTGTATCTATAACTGTATAACTGTATCTATATAACTGTATATAACTGTATCTATATAACTGTATCTATATAACTGTACTGTATAACTGTATCTATATAACTGTATCTATAACTGTAGCAGTTATAAGATACAGTTATATACCTATACCTATACAGTTATACCTATACCTATACAGATACCTATACAGTTATAAGAGGATGCCCAGCCCCTTACCTTTGAAAACATGAACCGCATCGGGAGAGAAACCAGTGTTTGGCGCGGTTTGGGGATGGTGTTAGCCATTTCTCACTGCTCGGCACCGCCTCCCCTAACCTATTTTGTAGAAGCGCACTCATCACTCATATAGAGGGGCTTAATAGCGGAGATCCACTGCCCGGACAGAAAAGCTCTCCGATGAAAGGCAGGGGTGCGCCCTAAAGCGTAGGAGTGCTCAAAAGCTTGCGATCCAAACCCCAAGGAAGTGGACATCTGTTGTGTGAATGTGGACAAACCCACGTAGAGAAACACCTGAAGTCCAAGCAGGGTGGTGCATCAAACCTAAGGGTAGGTACCTAAGCTGTAAACCGGCGAAGACGGAACCGCCCGAGCCTCAGTACAGCTGCTCGTGAATCCGGCAACAGGGTACCTTCAAACCCAGGTAAAGGCACTAATAAAAGCTGGGAGGATGAAGATTATAAACGTAGGCGTGGTTGGGGAGGGGGAGGGCAGAGCAACGCCTAGCCACAAGTGTGCCGATTAAGATATTTGACGATCAAACTTAGGAAGCCAAGTAAAAAGTGCTCGGAGAGAAAATATGCGACTTTCGGTTCCCTGTCTGAAGGGCGCTTGGAACGGTGAGCCAGACGTGGCGTATTGGAGATGTAGCGAGCTCGTCGCCCTAGGTATAGGCTGACTCGGTGATTTTGGAAGCAACGCTACTGTAAAGTCGTCCCGGACCTACCATAACGTGGAAATTAAAGGGGGTGTTCCACATTTGTATGGGGGTTTTGAGCGATATTGGGAGGATTTGTATAGCGATATAAAAAGCGATATTGAAGATCATTCGGCGCAGTTCGCAGCCCTGCTCTGCTACAAAGAACCTTCCACATTTGAAGATGTTGAGGCAAGCGTCAGATATTAAAAAAGCTCGCTTATAACTGTTGGGGTACTTCTAAGTGGAAAAGACTTGCCTTTGTGGATGTCTTTGTGTTCGTGGATGGTACGATGACGCAATGAAGCAATGAGCTATTCAGAAGCATTTTTATTAAACAGAAGTTTACTTGCCTACCGCAGTCTTTTCCATTTAGAGGGATATAAATGGTTATTTGTGACTGATTTAGTGAGCTTATTTCATGTTATCTCATGCTGGCCTTGATAGCTTAAGATATGGAACATTTTCTCTAAGGCTTCGATAGTGCTTTGTAGCCGATCCTTCTCAGGGTTAACCTTTTGTTGGCGGAAGTTGAATCGATTTGGTCGACTTCATGCAATGACGGCATTGGAGGTTCATGGTTAGTGTCGATGCACGGCGTTCTACTCCCCCATAGCAAAATTATCGAGCTTCTAGATACCTCGTCTAACTTCGCCAAGCAAAACGCCCAGTGTTGACTTAAATATAACGATATTTTAGACCCATAACATCATTATTTAGATATGTGTAGATATACAAGTGAATGTATATATATATATATATATATATATATATATATATATATATATATATATATATACCGATATGAGCCTTTTGTCATGTAATACCTACATCTAGTACTGTAAAATGCATCGGTCTTGCGCTCGGTTTGGTTCAAAATCAGCCTCGGGTCATGATTCAGTGGGACGGGGCGTAATGTCCGAGCGGTTAGCAAAAGCAAAGCCACACATGGCATGCTGTCTATCTTATGCAGTGCCACTGCCACTTCTGCTTGGGCTTGATGCTGCCGCCCCTCCAGTCGCGGAGATCGGTCGTCTGAGAGGGCGCGGTCGCCCACGCGCTTGCCGTCGCTGTCATTTTCTGCGGCTGCTGTGGGCGGTAGCGATACGTGCGGCTATTGCGGCGTCGCTGAGTGGCGCGTCCCACCGAGCACAGCAGCACGCGCGGTTCGGCAGCGTGGGTCACCATAGGCTTACTGCCGTGGGCTCCGGCACTGAAGTCCGCCATCCAGCCGAATCTGCTACCCCCGCCGCCCGTGGAGCATCCAGTGGCGGATCCAGAGGGATGGGCCACGGGGCTGTGCCCACCCCCCCCACCTTGAGCCAAAGGGGCACCAAAATCCTAATTTCGGATCCACACAACCTTTATTTTCAAGAATCACCAAATTTCAGGAGGACCCCAAATGGTCCTAAAACATTTTCGAGAGGCTCCGAAGGCCGGGCGCGCCATAAAGGGCCCTGAGGGGCAAATAATGCTGTGACCTCGCCATGCTTACAAAATCCTGTATTGGCCCGTTAGCAAAGGGCACCAAAACCTTCACTTCGAGACATCACAACCTTTATTTTCAAGAGGCGCCAAATCAAAGCGAACCATTTGAAAGGCTCAGCGCTATAAGTTCTAAAGGGACCAAGGGACGCCACAATTTCTGTGTCTTTTACTCAGGCGAAATTCGTGGTTTACCCGTTTGGCGAATGACCAGAAAAAAACCTTTGTTTTGTGTCACGACAGCCATTATTTTCTAAAAGCGCTCAATTCCAAGGGCTTCTCAAGGGACCCCAAAAGGTTCGTTGTCAAGGCACAACAATTTACACTGGACACCGCAATCCCTGTGCCTTTCCATGACTAAAATCCTGCATTGGCATATTCGGCTTGGGACACAAAAAACAAGCGGCCCTAAAATCCAATCCAATACCTGAAGCCGTCGTTTTTCCTAAGGTGTCGTTTTTCTGTCTTTCTCCCCGTTGCAAAAAAGTTAGACTTTGCCAAATTGACATCAGACTGGCTACGGCAAAGACTGTCAAAGGAGCACTTAAGGCTCGCAGGATAAACCCAGTTAAGGCTCAGGCTATCACTGTCCGTGGATGAGATTCAGACGTTAGGAGGGAAGTAGCGGTCGCTTAATTTCAAGAGCTTTGGTAAGTTAGTGGGTTAGACTGAGTCGCTGGCGCACCAAGTCGGCTTCCACCTGCATGTGAGTCACCGTGCTGTTAAGCTTAGTATTTTCTCACAACGCGTCATTTTCCTCAGCCTGTGCGGGCGGACGCTTGGGGGATGCTGCGCTGGTAGCCGACAGCGGATGGCGTGAATAAAGCGCAGTTCCTTATGGTAACGGTATAAACAAACTTTTCCAAGCCGATCACCACATTTTTGTTTTTTATTATCGGGCTCAAACTGTCTTCTTTCACAGGCAAATGAGAAAAATCTCAAATTTGCGTAGGAAAAGGGTTTTGCGCGCATTGCAAATATTTGTAATGCTTCAATTCACATCTATTGTGCAGTGATGATTCCAATCACGACACACGCGTAGTCTGAAAGGTTTTGGAATTTCTTTGACATATAGCTTTGTATGGGTTTCTATCATCGTAACGAAAAGAATCGCACGGCGAACGTGGCCCGTCAACGACGCAACACCAAAATGCCGGAGTTTGTAACCCCGAAACCGCTCATTTGAGACCTCTGAAAATGTCGCAG